AAAACATTGCAACGGGTGCAGCTGATTTATGTTGGTCGATTTTGTGTCCACCAGAAGAGAGCACAAACGCGAATCCTCAATTCTGCAGAGAGACGCCTCGAATGACTTCAGATGTTAAAAGGACGTTAAACAAAGTAAAACTTAACTAAAACCAAACTGAAATGGTATCATGCTTTCGTGTCAACATCGTTTTGTTGTTTCTTTGTTTGTGGTTTAGTATCCTCGCAAAGGGTAAAGTTCGCAGGACACGTGTGCCTGGGGAGGCATTGCCGGATCGAATGCAGTAAAGCCAGAAACAAATTAACAAAGGTCACAAGTGTTGTAATGGTAGCTATTGTTGCAGTATCCTCTAAGCAGAACACGCGGAATACCCCCCACCGCCGAGCCGGTGGATGCACAAATGTCGATTCTTTAGATAACATGCAGTGGTACACAGCATGCATATTATTTCCCCTTAGTTTCAGTTCACCTCAATTTGACCATTTTAAAACTCATAACACACGGGGTTTTCCTCCTTAAACAAACGGGAAACGTGCGTTCTGAATTCGTGATGTTTCTTTTCATTTGAGGAATTAAGTACTTTCAGTTCTCTTATATACGGGGTGACGATCTGATCTCATTTTGTAAAACATTACAAAATTCTATATGTTCCGTGTGAAACTCTTCAAGGATTTGTTCAATATTTAGATATCTGAAAAGTGAATTTCATTTTAAAACTGAACAATTCCATTTTCCTGCTGAATGAATTATACTCATCATCCATTTCTAGATTGGTCTGAATATCGTTATACATTGTGAATTTAATACGTAGACCGTGACGTACACAAGCGTACTAGTTAACAAAATGAGTTACTTAACAATGTACATGTGTATACTATTCCATATGAGTATGGAATGTAGTGGATTGTATGTGAACCATGTGTCTGACCCAACGACGAACAGAGAAGCTAGGAGAACGTGCGAGCTAGTGAGACCATTGGATCAAAATTCAAGAAATATCCTACTAGAAATATCCAACTCGTTGGCGCCAGTGCCAAAGCTAGCCTGGGTAAACGGTTATGTTGCTTTCACTAACTGGATTGAGTTCAAAGGGTGTATACCAGTTGACTTATCAACCATACAATCAAACCTTCAGCGTATCCCTAACGGGTCGAATGATGTTATATTGTTCTGTTATCGAAGATGTTATCCGTCCACATTTGCGCTGTACGATGATAACTGTGTGTGTATTGATCCCAATTTCAGACGAGGCAACCGAACATTCTGCCAGGATGTCATGCTAATGGACGGAATAGGAATAATTGGTGTCAAACGACATAACGTCAATGCATGTATTTGCACATACTCTCCAAGACACGAAAATGCTTCAACATTAACGGAAAACATAGGATATGGACAATGTTTAAACCTGCAGCACAATTATTCCAATCACCCATCAATCCAATCTTCAAATTGTAACGCCAAGAGGTACTACTTCTGTTATATAAATCAAACTTCAAGTTATACCTTCAATAGTAACATGGAACAAAAGAAAACGTTTTGGGAATCTGCCATGCATTGTCAAAACCTAAGTACGTATTTTGCCTTAAATTATAGTGATAACCTCGCAGTAACATTATCTTCGGTAGTGCTTTGGGGGTCATCATTCAGGAGATACACACTCCATTTGAATATTTCTGATAACGTCAGCAGCGTGTATTGTGCAGCAGTAGCACCAGAAGCAGATGGATCATTTGAAATTGTGCCAAGGCCATGTACCGACAGACTTCCTGGATTTTGTAGCAATGATGCCAACTTGAGTACTGTGGTCGTTGTTTTCATAAGCCTGTGTGTTGCTATTGCAACATGTTCATGTTTCACGATTCTGTTTTTTAGATTTTTTAAGAGATATACATTAAATATTTTTGAAACGAAAGCTGAAGACGTACATCCCAAAACGATAATGACCAAGAATAGACCAGAAATAGAACTTTATGTATTTAACGAAGTGTGTGACACACCACAAGTTGAGTCGTCAGGTGTCTACAACGTTTTACACCAGAGAAACACGTCGGATACCAAATCGAGACCAGAACTATATGACCACATACCAGGAGGGGCTGCCAATGGTAGATCGGATGACAACTACGACTTGATATGTGGTCAGGGTAAATCGATTGAACGATCGGTTGAATCGACAGACTACGATAGTGTCAAATATAGACCAGAAATGGACAACGCTCATTTAAAAAGACATTATGACAATTTTGAGTTACAAAATGACAAACAGAAAACTCAGATGTTTTCTGAATATGATCACGTGGATCATATATTAACAGAGAAATGAACATCATTACTTTATTACATCACATTGCCGATTAAGCAAATCACGTTTGTAATAATAATCTTATCTAGTAGTACGCTGCATTGTTGCTATCGCTGTCTCCGGCACACCACAAAGAAAACTAGGTATGTTTAATCTTCATATGCACAATGCAAGTGTGCAATTAGATTCATTTACATGATATTTTCTTTTTAACTTTTTATTTACTCTTGTAAGCATTATAATCAATTCCAGACACTTTTCCCTACACTGATGTCATTGAGTACATGCGTTATATATAGTTTAAAATGTATTCCATTAAAACCAATAAATGGATGCATATTTTGTTTAATGTTCATGGTTTTGAATTAAAAAAAATGGATGAATGTATTTTTCATCATATATTCATAGTACTAGTCAGCCTAACTATCCGTGTCACCTACATAATATCGTTTCTCACAGATGATCGGGTCATTTAATGGACACGTACAAGTGTCATATCACTGACTTGTCACAACCTGGACAATTCGGAAGAAGATTCGTTAGTTAGTTATAAATAATAAAGGCTAAGATTGTTTACACACAAACAGGACTGACTGCACTCTATTACTGCAGGCAGTCAGGGGGACGGGTAACATGTTTACCCCTTATTGGACTAGAGTGCGATGGGGCGAAATGTCTCTATGGTTTTTGATAGCTGTGTTTACTTATTCGGCACACTGTTGCTCGGTGAGTTGTTTTTTAAAGTCGAAAGACACCGGACATTTACACACTTAACCTGGCAATGGAAACAGAAATTTTCGAAAATTACAAAAATAAGTTTTCAATTCCTGTGTGTGTTCAAAACAAACTGAGTCTTTATAACCCGAACAATGCATCATGACACTCGACCGGGCTTTATCCTGGTATAGAGATATCCCAGACAAACCCTGAATTGAAATACATAGTAAAATACATTTGTATATACATTGTATTCGTAATCTTAGTTAGCGATCAGACTATAGCACAAGGATCCTGGTGACAAGCTTAATGGTACGACCCGAAATACGTTACTTGGGGTTATGAAAATGGAGACTTGATCATGGTAGTGTTTTAATTTATATTCGACATTAGACAGCAATGCCAACATTATAAATTTCCTTTTATCAAACCAGTTAGGGTTTGAAAATAAATCAAACGGAGCTAGTACCCAAAATTGGTATATATTCTGTCGTTTTAAAGATTATTGTGAACGTTTGTAACTTTCTTACACATTTGTTTAAAGTATTTTTTGTATTGTTAAACGGCCCATCGGCAATGTAGGGCCAACAATACTGTAAAAAGAATCATTTACAAAAATAAACACATCAAACCGAAACCAATAGCTTAAAATATGTAAAGGATTAAAGAAATACATCAATATTGAAGAAATTGGCTAAACAATATATCATATTTTATTGTAAAGAACAACAGCGTGTAAAAAGTCAAATATTAATTGCACAGAAACTGTATCGAATAATCAGTTCATAGACGGTACATCATAAAATCGGTCACGTATTTGTTTGAAATCAGCGCATTCAATCATAAAGTGTTTGACTGTAAATGGTTGATCGCATGACAATAAGGTTGGTTTTTCTTACGCAAAGTGTAACCATGTGTGATGTGGGTATGGCCTGTGCGCAGTCGCGAGGACAATTTCCTCTCTGCGGTCTGCTCTACTTGTTGCACATAAACCCACATTAGGCTGAATTGCAAATAACTTGCTGTTTAATTCTTACACATATTTACTTACTGTGATGAAAATGTATTTTATAGATTTCGTGAAGGCAACATCCATTATGACTGCTTGAAAATATCTTTGAGTATCAATTTAATAGACTTTTTAAAATTAGCGGTTAATAAATAGAAGTACGATGCAAAAATATTTATTGCGATATTGCCATCGAGGCCAAAACAAGGCGAAACATATTAAGGTCAATGAATTTTCGGAGCACAAAACATATGTCACTTAACTCACACAGTGCAAAAAATACTAGTCAATAAATTGGCAGAGCGCAAAAAATACTAGTCAATAAATTGGAAAGCACCAAAAAAAATCGCATTTGGTCGATATTATTTTCAAATACAATAATGACAGGATTTAAAACGTGTTTACACAGCCGGTGCTTGTATGTCAAGGTGTCCCATCGCACAGATACAATGTATAAATATGTCATATACCGAATGCTCTTTTCTTAGTGGATGTTTTCTCCCCCTCGAGTGATACTTTGTTGTGATAAATAATTATCGTCTAACTATTTTAACCATTAAGCATTCTTTTAAATTACAATGAAATTAACTGGCATAAAGTTGCATTGACAAATTATTTCGCTTGAAATTATAATAACAAAATAATTCGCTTGAAAATACAATAAAAATAATTCGCATAAAATTACAATGACGAAAAAGTTTAAATTACACTAATTTTAGTAAATTACATGAAATTAAAAAGACTGAAAATTTCGTGGAAAATGAATAAAATACATACACCATAACTGAAATTAAACAATACTAATTTTAAAAACAAATCGAGTATATGGAATTATATTTCAGACAATCAATTTCATCAGCTCAGATTTAGTTTTCTAATAAATTATAGCATGACCATTTTGTGACGGGTCATTGTTGATATTCGTTGCGTGTATCGACGCTTGGCGGAGACCGGAATATGATATAACGGATGTACATAGGTCCTTTCCTTTCCTGGTAGCGACAATGAATAACCGCTTAAAGGTCGGTATTAGCATGATGAAAATGATGTCACTTCCTTCAAAGTGTTTGTGTGAGATATTTTACTAACACTTGTGACCTACCAGGATATTTAATGAGTCACATCTATAAATGATCGTATAGTGCACACGTGAATTACGTATTTGCGTAAATCACAGCAGCTGTTGTTATTGGATTAATACATAGTTAATTGTAGTTGCATTACACCTGAACTGTTATGCTACAAGAATATTTATTTTCCGTCGATTTTGCAAAACATACAAGCTACGGCCAAAGGGAAATAAAACTCTCGATGTGCTTTTAAATGGATTTTCGAGGACATCAGTTATCCTAACAATAAGTCGACCGGCAATTCTACTAGAAATATTCAAACAAAACAGAACAAAAAACCCACAAAAGAGTTGAGCATTTAGGTAAAGAGGATCAACCCGTATTGAAGGGTCGAGTTTCGTGTATTATGAGTGGTTGCAGATGTCCTAAACACTTAAACCCGTAGCGGAAATAATTTGAAATGAATTATACATTTTACAGGATTACAATGTATATTTTAATACTTTTGGTGGCATGCCTCAAGGTGGCACATTTTACTAACGTTATATCATCGCGTGCTGTGCCATGGACGAGTGCAAAAAATGAATGCACCTTGGTCGTGCCAGAATTGATGAAACCTGGAGATCTAAATTTTGACATTCCTATCATAAATGGAACAGTTAATACAACTCTTGCTTGGATCGGTAGATATATTTCTTATTCGAAGTGGATTGAATTTGAAGGATGTTTTAATACAATTGATGATTTTGATGTACAGGAGTTTGAAATATCCGAATATAATGATAATCGCGTATGGAGGTGCCACAGTCTGTGTTCAGGAAATAACTTTGGATTAACAGAAAGTGTATGTAAATGTTTCACGAAGTCAACGAGATATAAGGACATATCCTCGCTTTGTAAAAAAAACTTTCGAAAAGAACGAAATGGAGGATTATACGGAACGAGTGGCTGTATTTGTAAATACACAAAAAGTGAAGCTATGTTTGCGGAATCGAACGAAGGTAATTGCTTATCTATACTATATTTCTCTGGGTCAACATCTGCAAACATACGATGCAATTCATTGAATAAAATGTTAGGAATAACCGGTAATGGAACCGGTTCGTTTAAACTATTGCCCGGAAATGGATCCTGGATTAACAACGTTAAACATTGTCAATCAAATCAATGTATTTTGCCAAAACGAATTGAGTTTAACACGATACACCCCCTTAAGAATATAACATACTGGTTGAATGTCTTTCGGGTACAAATTTACGAAGATCAAAAACAACTAACAGCGAATACCCCGAAACTTTGTCTAGCTTTGCGCATCTCCGGGAATAGAGGGATAGGAACGGAAATACGTAACTGTTCTGACAAACTTCCGGTTGTGTGTGCCAATCAACAGATTAAGATTAGCGACAGTGAGGACGATTTTACACAGATTATATTGATAAGCATTGTAGCAAGTATGTGTGTTGTAGTGTGTATCTTTTCTATGGTGATCGGTGTTCTATGGCATAAAAAATATAGACGACAACAGTTAGTCTCACATTCAGCAGATGTGAGCGCGCACGAAGTTAACCATGAATACCACGATATCGAATTAAACACGGTCGACGATGGTTCAAACGGAATATATAACCGATTGCATGACACGTCCAATAACGATGATGTTGGAATAACAACTGTTTATGATCATGTGCAAAACCCGGATTACGACCAAATGCCAAAACGGTCAAGCTGGCATTAACAATGATTCGGTATTCACGGAATATGACCATGTTACAGTTTTCAGAATTTGAACAGCATGATGATGTGTAGGGACTCTTTATATAGAATCGCAAAAAGTATACAATGTGGAATCGATGGACTATTTCAAACGTATAGCTTAATTTGAAACGATTTTATGCATTTTCCAGATTGGTATACACTGTAGAGGAACTTGAAACAAATGCATGTCTTTGTAACTCTTTATAATCGTGTTGATGTATTTAAAACTGTTAATGCCTTTATAAGCTGGTTATACTGTGCTTACATATTTTGATGTTTATCAAAAGAGCTGGAACGGAGATTGTTGTAAACCCTACGAAAGCCCCAATGAACTGGCGGCCGCCAGATAAAATATTTTCAAACTTTGGCACAAATCCGGTTTCCGTTTGCTGGGATTTGGTTTATGTTTGTTTAAAGTCCTATTAACAGCTATGGTCATTTAAGGACGTGTCACTATGTATTCGTTTATGCGTGTATGTGTGCTCAAGGCGGTGTGTTAGGCCTCGTTTGATTATCCGGTTATTGATTATTCCTTTGCGAAAGAAGGACAAAATATTCTTGATATATTTTTCCGAAACTGAATTATTCAGCTCTGCCTATAGTTCGGTCCAAGTGCGTTCGTTTATCGTGGATTAATTATGCGCCACCTGAACCGTTTAAACCGTGATACGCGAATGTTACCATTCGGGAATTTCCGTCATAATTTGAATTAGACGGTGCACCATAATTGATTCTCGGTGAAACGAAAAGACCCGAACAGAATTTGGTTGTAAAGTATTCAAGTTTAAAAGATTTTGTTGCCTATTGTTTATAACGGTATCTGTAGTCTGATGTAAGTACATGTCGTATTATTTTTAATCCCCGGATGTCGATTCTTCAGCGACTAAGAGGTTGTGTACTGTTAACGAACTCCTGATAACGTGCGCTCATACTTGAGAGCCCGAGAGCATATCCGATATATTAAGCACAGTCATAAACGAGCCAACTCTACCATGGAAAAGATAAAATAGAAATATTGACTTCCCAAGTTAATAATATATAACATTATAAAGAAAAAAAACGCGTTAAAATAAGAACGATGTTAAAAGAAATAACAATATTTAAGTCCCCCAAAACGAAGCGGGGGACTGACAGTCTGTTTTTGCTGTTTCTTTATATTATTTTATTCTTTCTGTTTTCTTTTTTATTATCATTTTCTTCCTTTTAAGGGTATCCTGAGTTTTTTCCCCACAAACTACTGGTTTGATACTATAGCAATTTCATACGAACATTGACGGGCATGTGTAGGTGTGCAGAATGCGTTTCTTTTTCTGATCGGTCATCAAACACGGTTGCCGTAGCCTATACTTTATTGATACAAATATATGTGTGCGCCAAGGTGATGCCAAACGCCCCTCTCTTTTTTGTGATTTTGCTTCAGCTTTGTATGTTAGTGTATTATGGCAATGTAAATTCTTCCAAATGCAACTACAGGGACAGTTCGGAGGACTTCTGTCAAATTCTGTCAAGTCTACCGGAAAAGGTATCATGCCAATAAATATCCCTGTTTAGGTACCTCGACTGGAGAAATGTAACATCCATTCGTACATCTTTATTAATATCGTATTTATGTGTATGATCAAAATGCCAAAATACATTTCAACGGCAAGGTTGCACACGAATGCTTCATTTTTTTAATCAATTTTATCGAAATCGATTAATTATATAGATTTCATTATATTGATTTTGTTTACAAGAATAAAGATTATCGATGGAAGACAATATATTTGTTGTTCTTTAAACGTTGTTTGTAATAATATATGTAACTGGCGTCAGATAATCTGCCGATCATAGCACATTTGGTGTTGGATATTTAGTTAGGCCTCATTCCAACGGAGTAGCACTATAAAGTCGCCATCAGATCCGCGCTATCATAAGGTGGTAACTACACTAACATATCCTGTCTCCAGCACACATTACACACAAGCACGCTCGCATTACACATATGGAGGCACGTCCTTAAATGACGGTAACTATTGTAGGACGTTTTACAAAGTAAATCCACACTTACACCAAAGCATTTGCTCTATCTACAACATGTATTATACAATAAACATTATGAGAAGATTACACACATTAACATTCATTCTTTAGAAAGTTGTGTTTATGAATGTATTTCGGAAATAACGTTTAGATAGACAATGTGTAAGCACACAAAGATGTTAAACGTGTAACCGCCCAAGATGTGAGGGTTACAAGGAGAATGAGTTTAATAATTCAGTATTCGAGACATATCACAACCAAACATTAAAATGTGAAATGTATGCCTATGTGGGTGTATCAAAGAAATAAACGATTGTGAAGGTACGTGTTTGTGAACGTAATGCAAAAATATATTTCCAATAGGAGTTTCAAATCTTGAATTTCACGCCATTTGCCTCGAGCGAGTTTATCGCAAGGATTTGAATTTGTAAAAAAATAAAAGGACAAACATATGATTCACGTCTAGATTATTGCTAATAAAAACATAAATATATTGCAATAAACGTTCCTTGCGATTTTTTACGAGATACATATCGCGATATACAAGTGATTCTTTTGTTGTGTCCTTCAAAATTGCACATATTACGAAAAAGGACAAGAAAACAGGTGATATAAGGTAAGTGTCACTATACTCTGTTTCAGGGCTA